GCTATTTGCTTGATGGTTTCGTTTGGTAATCTGCGAATTTCATTACATAAAACTCTTTGTTGTTGTTTGTTTCTTTCGGAGTCAAACATTTTTGAAAATTCTTGTGTAAACCTTTTCCAGTTTGATTTTATTTCTAGAGGTAGTACTGAAAACCATTTTTGGGCTGCGCCATCTAAGGTTGTTTGTATTAACGCTGTGCGTCGATGTATCCAATTTTGATGTAGTGGCGTATTAATTGGTTCAGGTCCAATATTTAAAATCAGGTTTGCTGTTACTGCATTTAAATAATCTTCTACAGAGTATTCAGGGTCTGTTCCTGTGAAAACCATTAAAGGTTTGTTTGATGTTATTGATGATCCACCCATAAGGTATGGATTCATTGTCATTTGTAATGATTCTGCTGCATTTGGCATTTGAGAAAAATTTGAAAGTTGGTTTCTTGTTATCTCATGTTGTTGGAGATAATATGGGAGTGGTATTTCATTTTGCATTTGTGATGGTTGATACGAGTGTGCAGTCATTGGATTTTGTTGTTGAATTGGTTGAAAAGATTGTGTATTAATTGGATTTTGTTGTTGAATTGGTTGTTGATTTTGTGCATCTTTTGGTTGTGGAGAAAAATTTCTATGATTTGTACGTGTTCTCTGTATTCCTTGTCTACGATATTCTTGAGTATTTTGTGCAAATATATCTGGTTGTAAGAAATCATCATCTGAGGATAAATAATCCATTTGATAAGATGTCTGTTTTTTATTTTTATTTTGTTGAAAAAATGGGTAATTTTCACTGTGATCCCGTGGAGGATTTGTTTGGAAATTTGTTGGATTAGGTTGGGCCATTGGGTTATCCCAATTTCGAGATCTTGTATATTGGTTAAAATTTCTTTGTGGTTGATTATATGTTTTTGATGGATGTGTATAATTATAATTATGGTCTGCAAAGTTGTTTCTAGTGAATGTTTTGCGTGTTTTTGGTGGTATTGTCATGGGTCTGTATGTTTGGTAATCCATATGTGAATATTTAGGGGCAACCGAAGGTTTAACGGTTGATTGTAAGGTTACCTGTGTTTGTGAAGGATTTGTATTTCTTGGTGTTGTTAAATTTGGGCGTATTGGTGAAATACTTTGTTGTGTAGTTGTTGTGTGTACAATTTCTTCATTTATGAAGTGTGATGGTGTCTGGATATCTTGTTGAGTAAGATTCCTAGTTCCATTGAGGTTTTCATTGTGTATAACTGTAGAGTTTAAACTATTATTTTGTGTATCGGGTAAAAATGTATTATAGTTTAATGGTGTTGCATCAATTGTTAATGGTATTACTCTTACATAATCTCTTATGTAAGATATTGTACCTATTGCTTGACTTGAGATTGATTGTGGAAAGCTTATAAATGCGGGATGAGACCATTCGGGGTCCCAAACATAATCTGATTGTTCTGTGATAGCGGTATCATCGTTCGAGTTTTGGGGTCTAAAATTTTTTCTTGCTTGTGCAATTAAATCAATATTGTGTGTAAAATAATCTATTATGAACCATGCCAAAATTTTTTGTAAATCGTGTTTGGTATGTTGTGAAACGTCGTCTTTCGTGAAATTTTCTTTAATGATGTTTAAATAACTAGAGAGTAGTGTGATCTCATGTCGTACTTTCAAATGTTTAGATGTTTCTGTCGGTGAGACATTTGTTATTGGGATTTCGTTTTCTAATATCGAAATATAACTATATATTATTGCGAAAACTTCATTGGTGAAAATGGAGTTTGCTCTTTGTGAGTTATGGTATTGGATGCTTTTTATATATTCTGAAAAAACTTTTGAAAATTCTAAATCAAGATCGTCTGTTTGAATTGTATATTTTCTATTATTATGGTTTGGTGAGGTGAATTCTATGGAGTAGATTCCATACTGTTGTGTTATGTTGCATATATCTTTTAAATAGTGGTCTATGATTTGTCTTTTGATTTTTACATCTGGGAACTCTGTTTTACATGGACTAATTCCGGGTTCAAATAAATTTACGAGTAAATTTTGACAAAATATGTGTTGTCCTCTATCAGTATCTGCGTCTACTATAAAAGGAAAGATTTCATCATCATCTGGAGTTTCTTCACCTGGGGTGTGCGTTGAACTCATTTTTTCGTTCGATTACTGTTAATATGTAATTATTAATGTGTCGAATTGGTTGATTCCAATTGTATAAATGTACTGGTTTGTGTTTGTACTGCTTTTTTATTCTTCTTTTTCCTCTTTGTGATGAATTTGAAGTTGTTTCTGAGTCAGAGAAATATAATTGATCGTGAATTGGGCAATTTTTATCTATTGATTCTTTTAGTTTGTAAAGTTCGTCTAAACTGTTGGTTTCTGATTCTGAAAATGCGTTTCGATTTTTTGAAAATCTTTTTCGTGTTATTTGTCTTTGTTTCGTTATTATTTTCTTTTTAGTGTTTGTCGTTTTGTTCGAATGTATCCAACTGTTTGTGTATGAGGTGTGATTACAAGGTCGTATTTTTTGTTATCTATTTCACAATTGTGTAAAACGATTGTTTGTTTATTTCCTAGGTTTTTAAATGACATAAGGTTTAGAATGACGGATGCAAAGGGTTGTTAAATGATTTCTATTTTCCTAAACTGTTAGTTCTTACGATTTTTTGGTTAGCTTAACCTGGGTCTGTTTGTTCAGGGTTGGAGAGAAAAGTATATCGATTCCGAAGAATGATTTTTTACTTTCTCGTGGCTAGTATAAGTTAAGGTGTTAACTTACTTAATCTTACTTAGGGGTAGTGATTGTGTTCAAGGGTTGGAGAATAGTAAATCGATCCACAAGGTTCAGGTATAATTAGAACGCGAGTAGTTCGTTAGATACTATTTTAAACTTACTAAGTCTAAGATTTATCCTGGGTCTGGTAAGAGGGGGGGGGGGGGTCAAGTGAAGGATGAATAACCGAAGTTCTTCACTGTTTATCTTAATTTGAATGATTAGTTTTGTTTAAAAATGTCTATTAGTCTTAGGTCTTTAGAAAGGGTTGGGTAGTGAATCGACGTTTGAGGTCGTTAGACACTAATTAAGTGGGTGGGGGAGAACAAAGTTGTTCTGTTTGATCCAAGGATAAGCCTTGATGATCAAATTTGAAATTTAATTAAGTAGAAAATGATTTAAGATCCAAGGATAAGCCTTGATGATCTGGTTTTAAAATTAAGTGAATTTAAGTTTTAATAAAATTTTAAATGTGTGTAAAGGAAAGATTTAGTGTTTTGATGATATTAGTGGGTTTATGATTGCTGTTATGTTTTAGATGATGAAGCTGGAACAACAGGATGATTTATGATTACTAACCATTTATTGTCATGCTACTAATTTTTATTTTTATTTTCCAATAAATATTTTTCAAACATGTTTTGTATAATACTGCAGAGTTTTAGGAAAACGATCTTAGATCTTTTTATCAATCGTTATTGTATATTAATAAATTTGTTTAGCGCCTGAAATGATTTTGAAGAGTAACTTCAAGGTTTTATGTTTGCAAATGGAAATCTAAATTCATTGCAAGTAGTATTCGAAATATAAAAGTTTGTTCTGGCTTTTGCCGAACTATCATATAACTATACGGCAAGTTTCTACTTTGTCGTATGTCGTCTTTGGTTCGAGGTCTTCTTCCAATTCCGGGTAGTTCTGTTATGGTTCGGAATATTGGCTCTGATCTATTGAGTCGTAGAGACATTTCGATTAAATTATTGTCGTATAACATTTTTGTAAATGTTTTTGTCTAATTTCTAATCTATTTTGGTTAATTCTAATCTATTAAGGTCTTGTTCGAGACTTATGGTCGCACCAGATGAGTTAGGACCGAAGTGTAACTCATAGAGTAATTTCGGATAGGGTACACCGTCTGCTCGTCACGCTATCTTATTTTCGGCCGGATAGATTCGTGCAACTTCTTAGTCTAATACCGATCCTAATCTTACTCTTATACTATCTAGTCTCAGGTTGTTTAACTAGTCTCTGCTAGGCTCAATAGATCTAGGGTATACTGGTTTATTGCGGCTGCTGAAGTGCTCGGGAGAGTCCAACTAATTTCTAAGTTAAATTCAAATCTCTCTGGTGCTGAAATTACAAGTAACTTCAGCACTTACAAATAAGTGGGTTGTTAGTTAGATGGATCATGATTGGTTAATATTAAATACTTTACATTGGTAAAACATTTAATTTATCCAATCATAAAATGTAGTTTAGATCAGGTTCCAATACCCTACTTCATGCACCATGCGGTGTTAGCTCTTTTTATTTGTTCACTAAATTGGAGCAAATTTGCGAACTTTCAGAGTCAAGACAAGATATCGAAGAATTATTACATTCTGTCAATCTTTACGTCATTGGATCCATAAATGGATTTGCTTTTTTGGCAAACTGCTGAATCATAGATATACTCCTTGCACCCGTCCGTACTGAGTGATGATCATCTAAAAACGACCATTTAAATCAATATAAATTGCCAATAGCTATTCGGACATCGCAGATATAATTAAATTATTTAAATTCGTTCCTATTATCCTTATCCTTTGAAGTCAAATATTAAATAGTAGATGCGAACTTCGGATTTTCTCGAGGTGGGTAAGGGATGGTAGTATTTTCAAAACATATTTTCAAAACATTTCGGTCGATCTTTTTGGGCCGGCTACGTTGATTGTTCGAGCTCTCCGAGAACGCTAAAATGGGCATTCTTTTGACAAAAATTGCGCTTTCTTTTGGTGGTCACTCATTCCAACAAATTTTTGTTAATGGGGGCAAAGGCGCCTTTAAAAAAATTTGGGGTTGATCGATGAAAAATTGACAGCTTGAAATAGTATCAGATAGCGTAAAATAAAGGCTCCTCCTAAATTCGCCTCAGCGTTGTATCAAACAAGCGGCCCTGCAGGAAGTAATCAAACATATTTTTATTTGACTATTGTTTGGACCCTGCTTGACTATTATTTGCAATTTTATCACGTAAGTATTCCAGATAGTGAGATGATGTGAATTGTCCGATGCTGTCTACGAGAGTTTATGAGCTCTGAATGATCTGGTTCCGATCATTTTTGGATTCCGAGTACAGACAAAAACTACTTCGCCAATATTATAACTACGCGACAGGTGACATCGAAAGGGACGAAACCAACATGAATATCGTCAGTATTTAGTTATCCGTTTTTTAAAACTTTTGAACTGAAAAATGATATATTAAGCTAGAAAAATGAAGCGTTTGTTTTCATGATTGAATTATTTCATTCCGTTCAGACTGAAGCAAAACGAGTTTTCATGTATCAAATAGCTGAATCAGTCATGAGATCAGGAGTTCTTTGCTCTGACGACAGCTTCACAAATCAGAAACTTAAACTTACATACACACCAGTTACAAGCAGTTCAAATTTTGATTACAAAAGAAGCGAATAACGAAAAATGACTGTGAGTGAATTCTCATTTGTTTATTGTAACTATTGTGTAAATGTAACTTATCAGGTAAATTTTTTTTTGCGAAAACAAAGGAAGCGTGGAGTAACTGCAATTTTTTGATGTAAAGTGTTTGCCTACGAAGCGGCTGGTGGTCAGATTGTTCCCTTTTTATTACGCTAGCGAGCAGCTAGTGTTTTAGTAAGAACCCTCTTTTTTTCTAACCTAACTCTCAAATAAAATTTTTCATTTGTGTGCCTTTTAGCTTGATCACGATCTCTAGCATTTGAAGTTTCATAGTATCTGTTCTCGGCTTTATTTGTGGCTAGTGTTTGAGATGAACTTTTCGTCCGTGGCTGAGTGGTTAGTGCGTGAGACTTAAAGTTTCTAGGTCGCAGCAGGTTGTAGGTTCGAGTCCGAGACGCCCAATGTTTACTAATTCGAGGCTTACTTTTTCTTATGGCACGTTTTAGAACTTAGAGCTTCTTTTTGTCGTGTTCTCGCTAGTGTTTGCGAAGCGCAGCTTCGCCTCTGTGTCAAGTTTATTACCCAATCGGTTTGTTGAAATTTCTTTTTTTTTGGTTTCGGAAAAGTTTTTCGCAAAAGTTGTAATTTTTCTCAGAAAATTCTGCTGATTTTCAAACAAGAGGTATCAATTGAAAGACCGCCTACTCCCTGCATATCTGCAAACGCGTGCCTGCATACTCCCCTAGAGTCTCTTTTTACTTGACACCTCTGTCTACAGCCTTCGAAAAAGCCTGTGGTGGAATTTTTGAACCATATTTTTTATCGAAAACTACCTCTATCAAATCTGAGTTTCCGGTTTTAATGAGAAATATGGTTTTATAAAAGCTTCCCTGCATAACCTGCTATTCCCCAATTTTTCACACACAAAGTTATGGCCCTCGGAATAGTCAAATTATCAATTTTTGACCGTTTTGTTTAATCTTTTCGATTTTTCTCAAAAAATAACCTCCCAAATCTGATGTTGTGAGTTCAGTGTAGATAAAGCTTAGTGGGAAGGTTCCCTGCATTAGCGGCAACTCACAAAAATTTTTACACAATAAGTTATGGCCCTCAGAAATTTTGATTTTTTGAACGTTTTTTAAAGTTCGTGATTTTTCTCAAGAACTAACCTCCCAAATCTGAAAGGTTGCTTAAGAAAGGTTGCTTGAATCTCCTCTTTTCAAACAAGCCTCGTTTTTCACACAAGCAGCGCTGATTCTCCGAAATGTCAAATTTTTGATTTGTTGGCCGTTTTTTTTGGACTTTTCTCGCTAACTATCCTGCCAAATCTGATGTCACGTTTTAATTAAAACAACAGTTTGTTGAAAGTTTTTTTTTATAATGAGCTATGCCAAGTTTGTATGAGAAAAAAAATATGGTCTTCAAACTAGTCAAAATTTTGTAACTTGACAGTTTTTTGAAAACTTATTGACATTTACGCGAAAATTACCGGGCCAGTTCTCATGTTGTGTTCAACCCAGATACTCGGTGTTGAGAATTTTCTCTGCTTAAGCGGCCACAACCTGCTTTTCTCCAGAAAAAGTTTACGGATTTTGAAAAGTCTTTTGACCGTTTTTTGGATTTTTTGACCGTTTTATAGAAACTTTTTGATTTTCTCAAATTTACATGATCGCATCTTAGATGAAAAATAAAATTGAATCAATTGATCGCTATAATTTTCCCCGTAGAAGCGGCAACTTTTTGATCTTTTCTTATCTTGTGTTATTTCCTTGGGAAAATGATTATCTCAAAATTTTTAACTCTTTCTACTTATTTTGGTTTATAAGATTTTGGGCAAAGTCCAATTTTTGAAATCACACATTTCGTACCGCATCAGTATAGCGAACTTATTTAATTTCAAATACGTACCTCCAGCTTTAGCTGGGTCTTTAGTTGTTTCTTTTATCGTGAGATACGAAAATTTTGGTTTCCCTAGTTTTTTCAACATTATTTTTTTTCGGCTTATGTTTTTTTATATTTGTGTTGTATCGCAAGTTTCGTACCACTTGCGATACAACACAAATATAAAAAAACATAAGCCGAAAAAAAATAATGTTGAAAAAACTAGGGAAACCAAAATTTGTTTTAAACTTTTTCCAAGGCTTGTTTCCTTGTTTTTTTGTTGCATTTTAAAGGCCCTTAAGTTTTCTGTTAAATTGTAGTTTAAGTTCGCATCTTCGAAAAATTTTGACACATTTTTCGAAACTTAACATACCAGCGCGTTTGAAACGAAACCAATTAGAATCAACCATGTTAATTAAGTTGGTCAGATTGTTTCATCAATTTTATTTTAAAATTTTTCAATGGCTTGTATTTGTGTTTTTTTGGTTCTTTTGAGTCCTTTTTTGTTCGGACAATTGAAAATGTCATTTTGTTCTTCTTGGCAAAATTTCTTTTTCTAGTGCAAAAAATTGAAAAGTTTTTTATTTTTCAATTTGTTTTTTTTGTGAAGACCATTGGATTCGTTTATGCCAAATACACCAAATTTCTACGCTTTCATATTGTTGTATTATCACACGACGTTCAAAAAAGACACTAACTCGAAGAAAAAAATGGAACATGTGAGTGGAACATTCTGTGCTACTTGCACAGCAACCGACTATCCTGGTTTTTTTTTGTTTTTGCACTCAAAACCAGCTACATAAATAACCATCGGAATGGGCTCAGTTATATATCACATTAAAGGCCTTTCAGTTTTGATTTGAACGACATTAAAAACATTGAACAATTTTTCTCGGTGTCGAGAAAAACCGGTTTGATTTTTTATTTGGTTTATTTTGGAGCTTGGTTTATTTTTTTTTAAATGAGATTTGTCAAATTAAGTTTTGCAGCCTTACAATAGTCTATTTAAGCATAATTGAAGCCGTGAAAACTTATTTTTACTCAAGTAAAGTTAGTTTTAAAAATTTTTTATTCCCATTCTGGGAGTGAAAAAATCAAAACGATTTTTTTCGTTTTTCTAGTAATTTTTCTACAGAAATTTTTGTTTTGTTTTTTTTTGTTTCGATCTATTTGTCTTACTGTGGCACCACAAAAAAACGACACTAATTTGAAATATATATATATTTTTTAAGACAATGGTCGGAACATTCTGTGCAATTTGCACAGTAACTGGCTTTCCTGTTTTTTTTTAGACGGTCGTCATCTTCGCCCTGTGTTCGGTATTGGCAGTTGTTCTTGGCGCTATGCTCTTTATTAGAAGATACAGAACCCAACGTTAGTTTCTCATTCTGTTTATAAAACACACTTTTAGTAGAAAATAAAAGACATTAGCGGGTTAATATTTCTGATGTTTATTTACTTCTCTTACAGTTGCTGAAAAAATGGAAAAATTGAAATTGAGCAAGGAGAAACGACCCAGGTTTCGAAAGCGGGACAAAGTCGCCTTCTACGGTCGGAAGTTGCTTCGAAAAGTAAATTATTTATTGGCTGCTCGATGTGAAGCTGGATTAGAAAGACTGCGAAACTGATGCTTGTTTTAGGTGGCAGAAAGTGTAGAGCAGAAGAAAAGGATGATTCCGAGGAAACGAACGTTCGTAGCATCTTAAATGCCAATTTGTTTAAAGGGAATGAACCTGATATTGAAAATTGTTTTTTTTCTTCAAATGTGCTCAGATAAAAAGAGCGCGCTGATGAAAAAAGATTTTCCCTCTAAAATGCCTGGCAAATTTTTTGTAATAGATGTGCGCTGTCCCTCTTTAAAGTCAACGTTGATTAAATGCATCTCATTCTAGGCTTTTTAGAAAACATTTTTAAAGAGTTATTGTTTGTCTAGCTTGATGCGATCCAACACTAGCGAGAGCTACATGCGAAGGGAGCCCTCGGACTACTTTCTCGACCCCGAGCTGGCCAAATTACGTCACAGAAGCAGTGTGCACTTCATGGTGGGAACAAGCAGTAGCATGAGTGACGAAATCCCCATGGAGATGTTCTATCTTCTGAAGTCTGTGAGGGTTTTTGGCTACCTAGAGAGACCTCTGTTCCTGGAACTGTTCAAGTTCATAGAGACTAAACACATTGCAGCTGGACTGTATTTGTTTAATATTGGGGATGTAAGTTTGCTACATTTTACTCAAAATCTTATATATTAAATGAAAGTCGGAATGCGCTATGGACGCAATGTTTAACTGAGCGCAATGTTTTAGCTTTGCCGAATGCAACGTTTAGAAAATTCCTTAGGCTTAACGTTCAATTGAAGACTAAGATTATTCTAAAACTTTCAAACATTTTTTAGTCTGGGATATTCTAGAATTATTTTAGACAAAAATTCAATTCTTTAGACAAAATGAACTCGATTCGTTTTCAAGGCTGGAGAGTACCTGTCCTTTTTTCCAATTTTTTTAATCCAGATTGATTTAATTCAGAAACGAACAAAAAAAACAGCAGCTTCTTTTCTTAGAAAAACTAGCTTTTTGCAAACCGATCTGTGTTATGCGATTTTTCAAAATTTCCTCGCGTGAATAGCTTGCTCTGAAAAATTTTGAAAAAAGTTTTCGCGAATCGTTTCGGTCAATGAAATAACTTGAACCATTTCAAAGTTTCAGAGCTGGAAAAGCGTGCTTAAAAAGCTAAATTTTTCGCAAAATGATTTGCTTTGTGAAACGATGTAAAATGTTTCAAAGTATAATGGCTCAAATAGCTTGCTTTGAGCAACTTTAATTTCTGCAAATCGATTTGGTCAATAAAGTAACTTGAAATCTTAAAATTTCAGAGCTTGAATGCTTGCTTACAAAAGCTTAAGTTTTTTGCAAAACGATTCGATCTATGAAATAACTTGGAATGCTTCAAAGTTTCATAGCTTGCTTGGAAACCTTTAGTTTTGTGTGAACCGATGCGGTTATTGAAGTAACTTGGAATAGTCCGTTTTTTAATTTTTTCTAACCGTTTTTTGATTTTCTCAAAAAATACTCTCACTTATCTGAGATTTTAGTTTCAATCGAAACAACGGGTTGTGGAAAGTGTCTCTGAAAAATCGACTATGGCCAATTTTCTTTACACCAAAGTTATGGCCCTCGGAAAAGACTATATTTGATTTTTAACTTTTTTAAAATCTATTTGACTTTTCTCGAAAACTACCCTTCTTAATGTAAGTTTTTGCGTTCAATCGAAACAACTGCTTGCATGATTATCTTCTGCATCAGCGGCTACTGCCTAATATTTTCACACAAAAAGCTATGCTTTTCGGAAAACTCAAGATTTTGATTTATTTGCCGTTTTTTGGAAACTTTGTTATTTTTTTCTCAAAAACTACCCTGTAAATTTTTAAGTTTTTAACGAAAAACCGATTTTGGAAATCTTATCCTTCAGAAGAGGCGACTCCTCATTTTTTGTAAGAAATTTTATGTCTTTGGGGAAAGTTTTCACTTTGCTCACTTATCTTAGTGAGAAACAACTAAGGTTTTTGGGCAAGTCCAACTTTTTTAATCATTCATTTCATCCCGCATCAATATAACGAATTCTAAAAATATCCAACAAATACCTCCATCTTTGGTTGGATTCCAAGTTATCTTTTATCGAGAAAATTTTGGTTAGCCTAGTTTTTTCAACATTTTTCTCTTTTTTTCGACTTATTTTTTGTATGTTTGAGTTGTATCGCAAATGTTGCGAAACTCCGCATCAATTTTGTGTCATGTTTGTCATAAAACCAGTAGTCTGAAAGCATCATTAATTTAAATATATATTTCAATACTTAATTACCTTGTTTAAAAATTAAGTTTTCACATATTGGTATTTGTTTTATTGCAAACTATTTTAGCCGGACGACACAATTTACGTGGTGCAGAGTGGAAAAATTGTCGTCAGTATTCGCCACCAGGTAATTCATATCAGTTTTTCCAATGGCGCTTTCGCTCATCTTTGACAAAATCTATTCGTTCTACTTTTTCAACTTTCAAAATTTTGCGAGGTTGGTTAATAAATCCTTCCATTTGACCCACTAGTGGTAAGTTTGTTGTTCCGACCAATGCAAATGGGGAGGAGCTTTATATTCTGTGTGTTTTAGTTTGTGTCTTTTTTTTGTTTTCCTCTCAAAATCAGGTACCCTAAATAATCATTGGATTGGGTTAAGTGATATGTCATTAAAACCCTTTAATTGGTGATTTAAAAAATGTACAAAAACTTTTCCCAGTGTCGAGTTAAACTGGTTTGAAGTTTTTGATTTTTCGTCTATTTTCGAGCGAGTACAACGATAGTTATATATGAAAATAAGTAATTTAGGCTAACAAACTTGATTTTACTAAAAGTAAAACTAGTTTTGGAAGCTTCATTTAGCGCTTCTCTGGCAAAAAAAACTTTTGAAATTAAAATTTTTAGTGCAAAAAATTGAATTTTTTTTTTGAAAAACAGTTCTTGATTATTTATATTTCGAAGAAAATTGTTGTCGTTTATGCCTATATCGCAAAATTTCTACGCGTTCGTTTAATTTTATCATCACACGACGTACAAGAAAAGACACTAACCTGAAATAGAAAAAAAATTCTAAGAAATTCTGTTTTTGTTCTGCAATAGATTGACGACGTAAAATGAAAACAGTATTCTGAAATAATTAACCGAAGAAAAAGTAAATGAATTGAAAATGCAGGCTACTAAGTTGCTAGAATGTATTTCTTTGGATGAGTTTTTTTTGTAATTAGGAAAAAGAGTGGCCGGTAAAAGAAGCCACGAATGGAGAGAGCATCTACAGTCTCCTGTCATTCATTGGCAACCTCACCGGTAGAGAGGAGAGGATGAAAACTGTCTCCGCTCGAGCAGTCTGTGACTCGACTGTTGTCAAAATGCCATTCAGTGCTTTCATCCCTGTATTTGAGAAGTACCCAGAGACCATGATTAGGGTCATACAAGTGATCATGGTCCGCATGCAGAGAGTGACCTTTGCGACATTGCATGACCAGTTGGGTCTCTGTGAGGAGCTAATGTATTCTGCGAAACCGAATATGGGTGCTAGTAATAGCTCTGGGACCACCAGTGGGACTGTCACAGCGAGTGGAGGTGACAAAAGTGGATCAAACAAGGAAAGTTTCGAAAAACTCAATTATAACCTTTGACCCGTTTGGGTTTTTCAGCGTTTAATTTGCTGAGGTAGAAATAGGTAATTTTAGACCATTTTTACTTGTTTGCTCTATGTGATTCTGTGATCTGTTGTAAGGCTAGCGTCACCTGTTGTAAGGTTGTAAGTGAGACCTGTTGTATGACTATGTAACTCCGTGACCGGGTCCTTTTGTTAGGCTAGCGTTTTATAGAAAACGTTAAGCATATGAGCTCATCAGAATGAAGCGTTTGAATCTAATTTCGAGAGGTGTAAAATTTGGGAAGTAGAACAAAAAAGTGCGAATCTGTCGTCCACCCTAGAAGTTTTTAGGATCCCAAAATTGGTAATCCGATTTTGAAGAAGTCGCCTACAGCCACGCACTTGACTACCAGCTACAAACCAGACGGGTCCGACCATGACTCATCCAACGCCTCCCTCAGTCCATACAATCTCACCCCCTCGGGTACACCTAAGAAGAAGGTTAAGGTCAAGAAGAGTCAGAAGGAGAGACTGAAGTCAGAGGAGAGTTTCAATTCGGGCGACAGTGAGGGTGGGTCGAGAAGCAGAGATGTGAGTCCGAAGATGAAGTGGAGTTCAGTGACCTTTGACCCCGCTGGTAAGTGAAATGATAGTTTTTAAACGATAGTTGAAGCTACCAGTTCAGTTTCACCCGTTTACAAGTAGAGTTTTACCCGTTTACAAGTTTCTTACAAATATATAGAAACGTGAAGTTGCTTTCACGTGCCGGCTGCTATCATGCTCAATTTGTTATCTTTGTGATCAGCAAGTGTATTGCAATCGGGTACTAGACTTTTTTGCCGTAAAAAACTTTCTCCTGGATATGGACTCATTCGCATTCCTCTACTGGGCCTTTCTGTTGCAACAGGCATATTTTGAGAATGTAAGCATTTAAAATATCCGGCCTATTTACACATGCAAATTGTGTTATAGTATAAACTTTCTTTTTTTCCAACCTAAGTCGCAAATATTGTTGCAATGCAAATATTATTGCGACAAATTATGTTCACTTTGAAAGTGTTCATTTTGATCAATAACCAGCTATTGCAGCCAATGCTAAGGATTTTAACACAGACTATTATATTATATCAAATAGCAGTTTAGCTTTAAGGTATCATGGATCTGTAGCGTAGAGGTAGGGAATGACCAGCAACAAAATAAGGGGGTTCCAAACTTCTTCGTATACTAGTTAACTTGCATCCGCTCTATAAATTGAGGCATGTTAGTTGGTAAATTGCGTTTTAAAAATTAACTCGTACTGCTAATGCGTCATAATTTGCTTGCGTGACTTAGTAATTATGTAGACTCATAATTGGCGGTGCGTCACTTAAGAAATTTTGTAGACTCAAAGTTTTACTCATTCAGTTTTTCCCAGTAGCGTTATCGGTCATTTTTTTTTGGTTTTGTATGTGAAGTGCAAATTCACCTCTATGTCGATGATTGCTTTATATCTTCATTAAAAAATTTACCAACTCGGTTTGTTAAGTTCAATTTTTTTTTTAATTTTTGTGGTTAAATAGGTTTTCAACTTTTTTTATATCGGCTTAGTAGCCTCTTATTGCGTCGCTTGATTTGTTTTCACACTAGCGAACTTTGATGAGCGTTAGTATTTTATTACGATGATTCTTTTTTTCTAGCTTAATTTACAAATTTTGGTGCCATTTTTAGTGGCACTCTTACTGTTTTTTGATAGCGTCTGCTGTGACATTCGAATCGTAATACGTTAACACATTTCATACATTTTAAATTAATCAAATGAACCGACAAAGAAGCTATTTGTTTCAAACAACATAAAAATAATAAAAACTCGATTTCAGAAATGTTTTTACTCAATTTATCTCGCAGTTTTGTGAAATGCATAATTTATACATAATTTGGCTTTATGCTTTAAAATTTTTATTTCATGCATCATTAGTGTGGATGCTTTCAGTTTGCTATATTCCAAACCATTACTTGCAAAATTGTGTCTCTTTATATTTGTTGCCAGTTTTGCTGCATTGCATTGGCAATTTGTTAGCATTTGTAGCTGCTTCTTTTGTGACTAGTGCGTGCCGGTTGTTTAGCGTTCGTGACCGGGAGAGCAGGGCGTGAGGATCTCATTCTCGAGGTCGGAAGTTTGAAGCCCATACGTAGCAAAGTTAACTAATACGTTGCTTTTTTCTATCTTTTCTTGCTTCATTTTGTAATGCTGCTTTTTTGTCGTGTTCTTGCTAGGTTTTGCGCCTCTGTTAGTAAAAAAAATTGTGTGCGCGCGTTCTGAGGGGAAGGCGGACTTGAATTTTTAAAATTAGTTTTGAATTTTTACGTTTTGTTTTGGAATTAAGAGTTTCTCCCCGTTTCATTTCTAATTTGTTACCTCTTGGTAAATTTTGTCCCGCGACTTAAATATTGCATTCTGTATTTTTCACAGCTATCTTCATTCATTTTGATAGATCTATTTGTATCGCAAGTAGTGCGAAGCTCAGCTTCGCCTCTGTTATTAAAATTCAACTAAAACTACTATCATTTAGGTAGTAAAACAGATGGAGTTCATTTTAGGCAGTAATTTTTTTTCAAATATGTTTTCATATAGGCGAAGCAGAGCTTCGCACCACTAGCGGGTAACCACAAACATCCAAAAACATAACTCGAAGAAATGGAAAACGTTGAAAAAAACTAGTTCTACCACAAATTAAATATTCGTATGTCTCTATAGAAGTTCATTCAAGGCTATCATGCCAGAAATTTGAACATTAAATTAGTAACGGGACAAAACTTACGAAGAGGAAATGAAGCCAGCAATCTTTGAGGAGACACAAAGTGAGCAAAAAAAACATGATTTCATAAAAAATCCTTTGTTTCAAGTCCCACCTGAAATTATAATGAACAACGCTTGAATTTTCAACTAAAAAGGATGTTGCTTACGGCACAAAAAAACAAAAAGCAGTGATTTGGCAACTAAGCCGACACTCTTTGAGTAGGCACCTGTTGAACCGAAAAACAAATTGATTTTTAAAAAATCACCTCCCTGAACCTACAAAGATTAACTGTTGCGCTTGCATTGAAAGTTGCTTACAAGACAAACAAGAGTTGTGGTGTGGCAACTAAGTCGAAAAAATTTTAACAGAATCATGGAAATCCAACTATTCAATTTTTGCTGATTTTTTACATATATATTGAAAAAAAAAACTCAAGGTCCGGCTGAAAGTCAAACCCCAGAGCTTAGGGTAGAAAGGCGACGGCGTTAAGTCTAGGCCAAGTGGAAGAAACCTGGAAGCTCTGAAGATTTGTTTAAAAAGCAAGTTGAAGAAATTTCAAAACGTGTAAGAAAAGTTGTTCACCGGAAAAAAAAGTCTTGCTCCCGATTTCAGACTTGTTTTCGCAAGTGTAATAATACCTGTTTTTGTCGAAGAGGAGTTTTTGACCTCGAAACAACGCAATATAAAATCTTTATGCCACATAAATATAAGCTGAAACCGTTAAATCAAAACACTATAAAGACTAACTTTATTAAAAATCAGACTTGACAAATTGACGTCACAAATTTTCAACCAGAAGTTAAAAATTTTCAACTACAGAAAAAACTCAAAATCAAAACAGAATTCATGCTTAACAAAAAGCCGAAAAAGCAGTTCCAATTAAAACAAATTTTATTTTAAAAAAAAACGGGAGTTGAACCGACGGAAACTAGTCCGAAAACCACGAATCCGAAAAAAAACCATTTTTTTCAAGAAAATTATTCGAAACAAAACTAGCAGCGGAAACGGACTGCATCTATTTACTACTTAAATGTAAGTAGTTTTTTTGAGCTTTCAAGAAATTGTCTACGGCTGAAATTGAGCATGTCTGAAATTTAACATTCCTACACTTTTGACGATTCTGTGCCTGAAGTTGTTTACTGGAAAAGAAGTTTTCTACCCAATTGCAATACTCTTGCTTGTCTCAAGAATGTTGATTTACTTTTGAATTCGGGTTTAAGTTCAGTCGGTTGATTTTCGGTTCTTGTAAAATGTCATTTTTATTATCTGGTAATATTTTTATTGGCTTCCTTGCCAGAGCATTGGTTTTTTTAGAGAGTTTTTACTATAATTAAAAGTTGTGTTATTTGTAAATTTACCCGGGCTGATTTTGAATATTTTTTTGGCTAAACGGATTCATTTTAGGTTATATTGGCTTATTCATGCGTAGTTTTGAGGCAAACTGTAATATTATGCTTTTGCGTGTTTCAGTAGGGACGGGTCATGATTTTTTTGAAACTTAGTAGCTCAAACTTTTTTTAAGTAACAGTAGTTTTGTTTTCGACTCAAATTTTGTTGCTTTAGTTGCCGAATGCTTCCCAAGTTTTTTCAAGACTGTTTATGAAAATCATCCTATACATTATGTGAACTATTTGTAGGGGTATTTTTTATAGTGTTGTGTGAAATTATTCGACTTCTGCTTTTTTTCTATTCACTATCTTGTAATGAATTGTTTTTAAGATTAATGAGCGTTTAGTTATATAGGTCTTGCATGTTTTTTTGTTTTTTTTTAATGCTCAAATAACTACAGATGTAGGATCAATTGAGCAATCTCCCCCCCATTCTCGCGTGGGGGGAGATAGCTCAATAGGTACTTGAGACATGTTTATAACCACTTGAAAATAGTTTGAATGACCTAAAATTATAAAACATATTTTCCAACGACTGTGGAAAGCCAAAATTTACGATAAAAAAAGCTCTAAAGTTTGAATAAAGAATCAATAAAACAGGCATAAAAAGCGACTTTTTTCTTTCTTAAAATGACAAAAAGTTTTTGCGTACAATATTAAGGTGCTGCGGAGAACCGTTTTTGCTATTCAGATACAAGGCTAGAGCAAAAACCCTGGTAAATCGCTTTCTTCGATGAGGCTATGGTCGCCTAAACAAAACTTTGCAAAAAAAAAAAATTTTTTTTCATAAATTTCGATTTTTTTTTCAAAATTTTTCTCGATACTCATTTAAGATAAACGGTCAATTGATTGCGTGCTTTAAACACACCATCCATCTTCTTGCGTTTGCTGACGTCTTTTTGTAGAGTTTTTTCATTTTTGCTGGGGGGAGATAGCTCAATTGGTCATTACGGGGGGGAGATTGCTCAATTGATCCCAGATGTATATTGATGCATTTATGAATGCACTTAGGTATATATGAAATTTTTGCTTTCAATTGAAATTCGTCTGCTGAAAGCTACGTCAATAGCACTCTCCAACTACGAACGTGGAAATTGCGCAAAAAACGTGAACAATTTCTAGTTTTCAATCATAAAATGTTTTCAAATTCAAAGAGCTTAAAGGGCATCTATTTGTTTCTTTGAAATTCGAAAGTTGAGATTTTTTCAACGAAGTCAGTGCTTCACCTCTGTGGCAAAATGGTGTGCCTTCTTCACTGCCTCAGCTTCTGTTTTTCTTGAGAAACTTTAAATTATTTTCTCAAGAACAGTGTATATTGAATAACATGGTGAATTTTATTGTAGCAATTTTCAAAGGTAATATTTAAAAACTAGATGCATGTTTGATTGAATTGCATCTTGAAACTCTTTTCACTTTCGATGTTTTCATTATGGGAACTTTATCGGTCATCAGGGGTCATGAAGATGAATGAATAGATGTTTTATTCACTTTAAAAAGCTTGAAATCATAAATGGCTGGGGTATGCTTTAATGTTCTGATTAGATTTTAATGCTGGCAACCAAATGTTTTCTAGGGCGCAAGATCTTTCGCAAAAATAAATGTACGTATTGAATTGCGCGAAATGTTAGTCATGACGACCGATTTGATTATAAAAGATCATTGGTTCTGATCACTTTTTGTTTGAACGACTGAAGTTATAAGAAATATCATCGTAAAATTTACAGTAAACAGTAGAATTAAAAAAAAATTATGCTTTTGAACTCGTGCTTGGTTCGTAATTCATGTGTTTGTGTTATCGGATTTAATCGCAGATATATCAGGCTAGTGGTACAGTATATTAAAATTGATTCGACATACTAAGTGCTAAGCTTTTATACGAATCAGACTTGAAATAGTTTTTTTTCAAGAAAATGATTGAGTTTGCGCCATTCATAGCAGCTGTTTAGTTTTTGACTGATATCATAAATCGTATTTTTTGTCCAGAAACAATGTCTCACGCTTCTTATTTTAGCTAACAACAGAGGAACTCTGTTGGATAACGACGAGTTCAAAAATGTGATGGACCGAGCACGACTTGAGCGCCTTGAAAGCGCTTCTAAGATGTCCAACAATACTCACACGCACCATGCATCGGGAAACGATGAACTGTTTGCGGATGAACTCAATTTTTACAAACCAGGGGTCTCGCCTCGACAAACTAGATCTCACTCTTTGACTTATAGTCACAACTCAACCACTCTTCTGCAATTAAACAAGAGTCTAAAGAAGAAAGATGTGACTGAAAATGTATATATAGAAGCAGCTCAATTATTCGCAAAAGCGTTGGGTCTTCCCACCAATAAAAGTTACCTTTTAAATGATAAATTGCAACTGCACAACTGTACACCAGGAGCCGTGCTCTTAGAAGCAGGAGCGGTTGATTCAAGTGTAGTTCTGGTTCTCACCGGGCAGATATTATTATCAATGAAAGACCATAAGAATATGGATGTTACAGTTTACACTTTGGAGAGGGGAGAGACTGCGGGATTGATCCCAGTTATCACAGGAGAGCCGAACATGTTCTCGTTGAAGGCGAAAACAATCAGTCGAGTGGTCGTTCTGAGTAAAGAGTATTTTTACGAGTAAGTATACATGAAGTAATCTTAAGTTCAGCTTGCCATTAGACCTGTCTTCTTTGTGAAAAGTGCTGTTTTGTTGAGTCTTAATGAACAATTCGTTGCACGACTAATTTTGGTTGTCCAGTTTTTCTGACCATAAATTTTAGAATTGCACGCCCTTTTATATTGTTGCCCAACACCCCATCTCTTGAGGTATGAGAAGGAACTATGGCATAGGTTTAATTTTTTTTCAGTGTTTCAAGAAAAACTTACGAATTATCTAGTCGTATCATATTGTGGGCCCATTGGCCGTGATTTGAGTTCCAGAATATCCAAAAATAGTCCCGAGAAAAATTTGTCACTTATTTTCTTCTTTTCAAACTAAATTATTCGGATTGAACTTCGAGCTAACCCTTATGGGCTTGATGGTCATCTTAGCTATAATTTTTTGATTTTTGCAAACTTATATAAAACAATTCTCTTGGCTTCCTAAGAGAATTTGGCTTTTTTCCGAATTTTTAAGAATTCGGTAGTTTTTGATTTTTTAGATTATTGTCGTAACATTTTTGTAAAATTTCTGAAAATTGATGTCTCAAGGTTGTCCGAAAACTGGAATTTGAATAGAGCATTTGTTTACACTAGCAAGCTGGCGAGCGTAGTTATTAATACGAACCTTTTTTTAAAGCTAACTGGTTAATAAAAGTGTTCTCTTATTTGGTGGCTTTTTTGCTTAATCACGATTTGTAGCATTTAAAATTTCATAGCCTCTGTTCTCTGCTTTATTTGTCTATTCTCTGCTTTATTTGTGGCTTGTGTTTTTGTTTTATTGAGAGTCCGTGGTGAGTGGTTAGTGCAGGAGACTCATAATCTCTAGGTGACAGATCGAATCCGAGAAGTAGCCGAGTTTTTACTAATTCGAAGTTTATTTCTACTTTTTCTTATTGCACTTTATAAAGCTGCTTTTTTGTCGTGTTCTCACTTGTGTTTGCGAAGCTGCCTCTGTGTCAAAAATGTTACCGACAAAATTAATTAAGAAGAGCAATCTGCCATTTTAAATTAAATTTATTTGCTTGTTCAAAGGAAAGAAAACTCCACTATCGAACAGCAAAAAAGTGTAAAGGTCAGTAAAAATGTGACTGACATCTAAATTCGAAAATGGATTGTAAAGTTCAGATTTCTCTCTGGAATAAAAATTTTACCTACGTTTCCAGCTTTCTTACTTTGGATGAAATTTTTTTGCTTTTGGCTATGCTCGTACCTTTTGAGTTGAACTTTTTCGTCTTTGGAAAAATATCAGATTTTCAAATTTTTTACGCAGTCAATTTCTAAAAAAATTTCGAGTCGATGAACATAGTGAAGACTTTGATATATGTCGAGACGATTTTTTTTTCGTTTGTTTTTCAGGGAGAGTCTTAAAACTTATTCAGGCTCAAATTTACTTTTTTTGCTGTTTGAATTCTGAATACATTTTAAATTCATTTCATTTCTTTTGTTAAAAGGAAGGCAAACTCCATTATCGGACAGCGGAAGTGAAAAGTCACGAAAAACCTGATCGACTTGATATCGAATGTGGAATTTAATCATCAAATTTCACAGCAAAATAAAACTGTTACCTATCCAGTTTTCTCAATTCGTGTTATTTTTATCAGAAAGAGCTTAAAAGCTATCTATTTTTTTTGAGATTCGAATGTTGACTTTTTTCAAAGTCAGTTTTTTTTTTCTGTTTATTTGCATTAATTGAGTCTTGTCCTTTTGTCTTTTGACTATGCTCGTGCATTTTAATTTGAATTTTTTCGTCTTAAGAAAAGTATTAGTTTTTTTTCTAATTTCGTGCACCATCAATTTCGAATATTTTTTTTTTTTCATATTTTTCAATCTGAGTGGTTGAAGAGCATTGCGAACTTGTTGTGCCTGCTTAGATTGGTGAGTGAAGTACCCACTATCCTTCCGAAGGTGTCGCGTGACATCCTGGAGACTATGTCGCCCTTCGTGAGACAAGCAGACTTCTCCCTCGACTGGATGCAGATGGAGGCTGGCAAGTCGGTGTACAGACAGGGAGACAGATCAGAGGCCACATACCTAGTCATCAATGGACGATTAAGGTAGTCTTATATTCTGACTTTTTAACAATTACTTCCGGGTGCCTCTTAAAAAAGGCGGTCTTCAATGGGTGGTGAAATAATGGAATCTCTCAAATATCCAGTTAAAAGCTTTAGCATATACAAATTTGTACTTTTAACGAACCCTTTTTGCAACAACGTTTAATTCTGTATCAGGGGGTGGATATTCGTTACAAGAGACCAAATGATGTTTGGTAATTGTTGAACATATCTCAAAGCTGTTTGTTTGCTTTAAGCATATTTAACAAATCATTCGGATCAAGTTTCCAAATTTTGTGTTCTCAATAGCCGATCGTTTATTTAACGACTTTGTGTCTTAAAAAGAAGCTTTATTCCGCGAAGTTTCGAGCGTATGAAACTTTTAGCCATTTTCACTTATTACTTTAGCAAGAGCGTGTGTCAAGTAATCGGCAACTGTACTTTTTTTTCCATTAATAAAAACGTTTTCGTAAAAAAAGTGTAAAAAAAATTGAGCTTGCTGTATAATACGTGAAAACTTGCGTGCATTTGCTCATTTACTTTAGTGGTAAAGCGCTTGCTGGAAATTGCAACGCTCAGGATCTTGTTTTTTCTAGGCATTTATTTAGGTCTTTTAATAAAGGTCGTAATGATTTTTTTTCAGGAACAGTCCTAAAATTAGTTCAACTTTTTCGCGGTTTGGCTGTTGATTTCTTTTTAATTTCAGTGTATTTCTTTTGTTAGCAAGAAGGCAAACTACTATCGAACAGCGAAAGTGTAAAGGTCACGAAAACATGATCGACTTCTAATTTAGTTTAAAAAAAATTAATTATCAGATTTTCCAGCGAAATCAAAAGCTTACCTATTGATCCAGTTTTTCTTGATTGGGTTATTTTCATCAATAAAGTCTCAGTCATAAACTGTTTTAGAAGTGCAACGAACTATAATGCCATCTATTTTTTTTCTTTGGATTTCGAAGGTGAGATTTAAAAAAAATAAGTAATCATTTTCTGTTTACTTTCGGTCATTGACTCTTTTGCAACCGTCTGTTGGCTGTGTTTTGGCTCATTGGTCTTCGTATTGTTTTGTGTCGGTTTAGTTTCCGCTATGAGCTGTTTTTCCTAACGATCAATTTATTCCTTCTCAAATTATGTATCTTGGCTCAAAACTTCTTTGCTGCAAATTTTTTCTGAGTTTTTTTTTTGTCGTCCTGCATTCAAATAGACGCACTGTCAATTTACTTTCCGAGTGGGCATTTTCATTTTTTCTGAAAGCTTTTGTGCTTAAGCAGTTACGTATATACGAGCATTGCAGTTCTTTTTCCTTAATACTTTTCCCTTAAGAAGTTTTGAGGGAAAATCTTATCAAAGTGGTTATATTTAAGATATTTTTAAAGTGCTATTTTTAAAGGAATTTTTTATTAAATTATTGTCCTTTTCATCGCTATATTGATACAATCATAATAAAGTCACTGCTACATGAAATTGTTAGTCTATCTGCGATCGAATGTCCGGTTCGCCATTTAATTTGAGTTGGAATACACTGCTGATGTAAATCATCCGGACGAAAAAAGCATAAATTTTGAAAAAATTTTTGATCTTTCAATTTTCACCTAATGTCAACCCAATTTGAGAAAAAAATCATTTTGAATTTCAAATTTCACGCTTTCGTCCGGATAACTTGAAAAAGAACTGTTGTTTGATACTGTTTATTTTTAATGAAGTTTTATTCTTTATGTTTGTGAAGATTATATCATTGCCCTTCAAATCTGGGAGTAGTTCAAAGGATCAAAATGACATCCTCTCCCCCACCCTCCAAGTCATTTGAGACGCAAAAAATACGTCGATAGTTTTCCAATTTGAACTTGCATTTGAATAGTTTTTGCTCTAATTAGACATTGTTCAATGCAATTGGGTACTAGACTTTTTTCCCCGTAAATAACTTTTGGCACAGAATGGTCAAAATTAGAACTGTTAAATTTAAGTTCATTTTTTAATTAATTCTAATTTATTTGTTTATCCGACACACATGGTCTGGAGGTAACAAATTCGCCTGGGACGGCAGAAGTCCCGGGTTCGAATTTGACAGGACGTGTTTTTTTTCAAACAGGAAATTTTCGGTTTAACAGAAAAACTGTCGGCGGGAAATTTTCCGTTTAACAGAAAAATTGTCGGCTCATTATTTGTTTGCTTGTTTTGTCGGCTCACTTGTCATATTGTAGAATTTTTTTTTTTAGTTTTTGTTTTCTTTTCTAGTTGCTTTTAGTGATCTGAAGTACCTCCTATGTTTGTAATTTTTCTTACCTTGACCTTTTATGTTTTTTTTTCCCTTTATTCTGCCCAAATGATTTCGGCCTACTTTTTATCGGCTTAGTGACCTAATTTCGAGTCGTTTGAAGGAATACAAAAATTTTCAACCCTGGATCGCACAAAATACTAAAAATCTTAATAGAAATTCTAGTTAAAGTTTTTCATGACAATAATATCTTTCGGCTTTTTTTCCTTTAATTTCGACTTGATAGGTTTTGGCCTATATTATATTATATTATATTATATTATATTATATTATATTATATTATATTATATTATATTATATTATATATTATTTTATATATTATATTATATTATATATTATATTATATTATGTCGGTTTAATGGCCATATTGCGGCTTTCGGTGATCGAGAAAAATATGTGTGTGCGTGTCTGTGTTTTGAGGTTGAAGGGGACTTAATAACTCGTCTTGTTGGTTTTTTTTTCGACTCAAGTGGTTTCTGCCAAGGTATTTTTCGGCTTTGTTATTTTGGGTAAATTTTCTTCCCATGTTTGTTTCACATTCAAATGTCTCGGCATGTTTTTTTTTATTTGAAGACTAGTCTTACTTTTAATAGACTTTTTTTTCAACATTTTCGATATTTTTTTTTCAATTTTTTTCTGACTTAGCGGCTTTGTTTTTGTATGGCAAGTGGTGCGAAGCTCAGCTTCGCCTCTGTGTATATTTGGGTCTTATGCGTTAAACGGCCCAAAATTAGGAAAATAGCCAGAAATTTTATTTCAAATTGAAAATACGTAATCAAAATACAATTACTTCAGTTATTACATATTATACAAGCCAATCAGGATTAATCTCAGTATCAATCGAATGGCTGACCTAGTTGCTCGAATTTGATTGGCTAATATTAGCCAATCAGGATCAATTTCAGTTTTAGTTTTCATTTTGTTTCAATTTTGATTTTTGGGCCGTTTAACGCATAAGACCCGTATATTTTTGAATCAAACTGGCTAAAGTAGGTTTCATGATAAAATTTCGGATTAATTTTTTTTGGATCTAAAAAGTCTGAGTTGATTTCATATTTTTTTCATTACTTTTAGTTTAATTGCTCACATGATCTGCTTTATGTGCTTCACTTTTGTTGCATCCTTTTTAGTTCATTGCATAAAAATAGATGTTTATTTAGATCAGTGTGGCAGAATGTGGGTGCTACTAGGAAGGAGTTAGAGGGAGAGTACGGCAGGGGAGATCTGGTTGGAATGGTGAGTCAGACAGAACACTAACTGAATTCTGTTCACTCTCCTGTCAATAAATTCAACGCAAAGACAACCTAACCTTACTCCGTAAACTAACCGCTACCCCCGATAGTGATACCTTGACCTCAAATAGACCACGCAAAATCATCCACCTCCTGTCTCGCTAGTCTTTGATTTTGGCACGTTCGCCCCTCATATATTTGGAATTTGGACCCTATCTTGAATTTTATGCAACATTTCACCCCATTCATTACGAGACTCCGTGAGTAGGATAGCGGCTAAAAGTGCAAGGGGTGAAAGCTATGCATAAAAAGTGTTATTTGCAAGAACATCTTTTTCGTTTCTCGTTGGCACTAAGTTCAGTTTTTTACACGTGTCATCTTTTTCGACTGTTGATTCTCGCTTTATAAAGTCATAAGCCCATTAATGTTGTATTGTTACATGAGTTTTAGGGTAGCGTAGTTATCCGGCCTTAGATAAGAAGTAACAACCCCAAATTTATCGGTAATTTTTGCTTTTCCATCTGTATGGAAGAGATGTGATAAAAAAAATGCGCCGCTACCGTGCGGAATTCAAAATACTATGCACATTTAGTATAAATTGTCCCATTTGCATTGACGTAAGTTCTATTTATAAATGCTCGTCTGAACAATCATTCTTGTTGTATCGTTGGCAGAGAGTCCCCATGTTACTAAAACAAACTCGACCAAATCACACACGTTGTTGCTTTTCTGTCGAGTACCACAGACGTTATTGGAGTCATTCAAAGTGCTCTAAAATAAACAAAGACCACAATGAGGCCATGTGTCTAAATTTACGTTGAATATTGTAGCAAAATAAGGCCTCAGTTGAATTAAGTCAGTCTTTTCAGCGGAAATTGCTGGTCTTGTATGTGAAGAGAAACTAATTTCATGTGAATTCAACCTGGTTGACAAATATACGTTAGAATGAGAAGAGCAGGATATTCCAGAAGCAAAGCAGGCGACTTCTAAGTGTGCTTGATTCAAAATGTCAGCAAAGAGACTTTGGAATCTGAATTTCTGGACGTGTAGTTTTATCTTTGCGCAGAGGCAGTACTGTAGACAATGAAGTTTTACTGAGTCGCAGTTATTGCTAATTGAAAACTACTCCCAATAACCCGCCTAGATGACCTCAGCGTCGTCTAAGGCAATTTATGGGGACCCTTCGGGTCTCATCACTAATCTGAACTATTAATTTTTTCCTGTACAACCAATGTACTGCGTTAATAAATAAATTTTTATAATGTACAACCAAGGTACTGTGTTAATACGCAAGGCTTTCCAGTGAAAAAATTATGTGGCAGGTACAGTTAAGGAACATGGTGAACGATCTCAGCCCTAAATTGATTTTGGGAGAGATTGTTTACTTAATCTCAACAGTCTTTCGGTTTAATTATATGGATCTACTCAGCACAATTATTATTACAATCAAAAATCTTGGGATCAAACTTTCACAATTTGGGAGACACTCACAGTAAAGAACCGGTTCTTGTAAAAAGCAAGTATGAATGATGGGTCTAGTTATTATTTCGGAAATATGCATTATGAAATGCATATCCCGTTGTTCACTTTTACTGGTGTTCCAAATGCGGTTTGTTCGGCTCTCTGTATTTTCAGTCGGTAATTTTGCAGGTGGAATTGCTGACGAAGAAGGAGCGCAAGACGACAGTACATGCCGTGCGAGACACGGAGCTGGCTGTGATCCCAGTGGGACTGCTGGACTTCATGAAGGCCAAGTATCCGGGCACAGTGGCCAGACTCATCCAGATCCTGTCCCAGAAGATGATGAACCAGCACGAGGACCTCAACTCCAGTGAGTAGTGTGATAAAGGTAAACTACGGGTATTTTCTGTTTTGGGACCCAAATAAGGCCCCCAAAGGATTCTGCTAGCAGCAGAATTGGCAGATTTCGTCTTATAGAGCAAATTTTTTGGAGCAGCAGATAGAGCATAATTTCTATCATACTGCTGAATTCATCGATTTATCCAACAATCTTTTCAAAATCATAAAATAAAAGCTGCAATTCTATTTCTCAGAAGAAGCAAACACGCTTCTATGTTCTAATTCACTCAACTTTCAACAAAAAAACTGCTCTATCTCTCAGAAATACTAAAAATGCATCTATCCGCAACTCTACAAATCTACTATTTTGATTCCTGAAATCAAGCGTAGTGTTTAATTACGAAGCTTTTTTTCTAACGTAATTCGCAAAGAAAAGTGCTCATTTGATGGCACTTTCACTTTTGGTATATTTCAATTTAATCATATTTAAGCATAACCAATATAATGGCATATGTTGCGGCTTTATTTTTGGCTAGTGTTAGGTCCGGTTTGAAAAATCATGTATTATGAAAATGTATGATACTTGTTGTTTTTTGTTTTTTTGCGACCCTTAGGCAGAATTTTCGATTTTCTCAAAAAAAAACTGTGCTGATTTTCAAAAAATGGAACCAATGGAAAAACCGTATAGTCTTTTATGTACCTTCATATCTGGCTAGTATCTTTTCATTTTACCTCACGTTCTTTGGCCTTCGGAAGTTCAGTATGGGGGGTTTTGGCCTATTTGTTTTGAGTTTTTTTCATTTTAAAGAGTAATGAACGTAGTGAAGACTCGTATATAGGTCTTGCTTATTTTTTTTTCAGTCAAAAGTCTTAAAATGTGCATAAAAGTCTCTAATAACTACAGATGTACATTCATAGATATTGATGCATTTATGAATGCAATTAGGTATATATGTGGTTTGTGAGTTCAATTGAAAATCATCTGCTGAAAGTGACGTAAATAGCACTCTCCAAATACGAACGTGGAGATTGCGCGAAAAAAAAGTGAACGATTTCTAGCTTCAAAAGTGGAATTTATTTCTTAGATTTCCTGCGGAATAAAAAGTTTACCTGTTAATCCAGTTTACTCAAGTTGGGTTAATGTTATCAAAAGCACGAATCATAAATCGTTCTAGAAATTCTCAGAGCATAAAGGGTATCTATTTTTTCTTTGAGATTCGAAAGTTCAATAAAGTCAGTGTTTTTTATATGTTCACTTGCGTTCATTACTCTTTTCGAATCTTCGATTGGCTATGTTCTCAAATCTTAAATGCACAAATGTGAGATGAAAATTTCAGTGAAAGAACAAATTGTGTGAATCTCCCTTTATAAAGCGGATATTCTGTAAATTCGGTAGAAAAAAAGGTATGGCCTCAAACAAGCCCGTTTTTGACTTTTGGCTAATTTTTTAAACTTTTTTTACTTTTCTCAACAATTACTCTGGCAAATCGGAATTATGGGTGTATCCGAAAGAAAAAAAACTGTTATACAAATCTTGATTGCGCAAACTTTTGCAATTTTTCCTGTTTTTTGGAAAGTTATACTGTTTTTTCAAAATCGAATCTACTGGTTTTGAAATTTATCGTTCATTAAAATAATATGGTGCTAAGATTTTCCCTGCGTAATCTGTTTTACCATGTTTGTAGAAAAGCTCATATGGACGTAGGAATTATATTCATTCTTAAGTTTTTACCGCTTTTGTCTTAGAAATTTTGTCATTCTTCTCGAAAATTACATTTCGTCACTTTTCTCGAAGTCAATGTTTTTCTTTTGTTTGCTTTCGGTCATTGACTCTTTTCCAACCGTCTGTTGGCTTTTTGGTCATCGTGTTGACTCTTGTTTACATTTCGTCACTATTCTCGAAGTCATTGTTTTTTTTGTTTACTTTCGGTCATTGACTGTTTTGCAACCGTCTGTTGGCTGTGTTTTGGCTTTTTGGTCATCGTGTTGACTCTTGTCGGTTTAGCTTGCGCAATGAATTTTCAAAAATATCAATTAATTTCCTTTCAAATTATCTATCTTGGATAAAAAGTTTTTTGCTGAGTGTTTTTGGCTTCCTTGATTCAACTAATGCTCTGTCCGTTTTGTTTCCGAGTGGTTATTTTAATTTTTCTGAAAGCTCGTGCTTAAGTAGTTACGTATATACGAGCATTGCAATTCCTTATCCTTAATACTTTTCCCTCAATTTTTTTCCAATTCTTTTCGATTGACGTACATATCGAATTTTTTTGTTTTTTTTTGCAGAGCAAAGTGTATTAGTACAAACTTTCTTTTTTTCCCAATCTAAGTCGCAAATAAAAGTGCTACTTTTGGTGGCACTTTTGAATCGGTAGGCTGCGGTAGCAGTATAAATTCATATGTGCTTTGACATTTGATTAATAAAAAGTGAACACAGCTGATGCATTTTTAATTCATCAAATGAACCGAAAAAAGTCATTTGTTTGAAACAGCAGTACAATGATAAAAAACTCAATTTCAGAAACTTTCTAACTAATTGTAGCTCGTTTTTGTAATGCATAATTTATACATAATTTGGCCTTATGCTTTCCAATTTATTACATGCAAAATTCCGTCTGTTGTATTTGGTGCTACTTTTGCTGCATCGAATTGGCAACTTATGAGCACGTGTAGCTGCATTATTGGTGGCTAGTTTTTAGGGATTTTAAGCTTTCGTGGCTAAGTGGTTAGTGCGTGAGACTCAAATTTGCTAAGGCGCAGATTCGAATCCGACACGTAGACGAGTTTTTGCTAATTCAAGGCTTGTTTCTTTTTTTTTCTTTTTTCACTTGATAGAGCTGCTTTTTGGTCATGTTCTCGTAAGTGTTTGCGAAGCGCAACTTAAGCCTTTGTGTCTATTTCACTAAACTTTCAACTAAAACTGCTCTATCACTCAGAATTCAAAAAATGCATCTATTCACAATTCTACTTGTCTACTCTTTTGCTTCCTGAAGGTACTGTTCCTTTTCCAATGGCTTTTTTCTTGAAAAGCTATAAAGGATCACGCGTGCAATCCCCCCCCCTAAGTGACCAACCGTAGATTTCCCCCTAGTTGCGTAGTAAATTTGAAATTGAATGCTGTTAATAACTAAAAATTAACGTGTTTTTCATCAATTTTCTCTGAAAAAAAAAACTTATTTTTCATAAACTCGGAAGTTCTACTCAAACTTATTTCCTGAAAAATCCCCCTAAATCAATTGGAGCGGGAGGGGGTATTTTACGGTTGATCCGCGATAAAATTTGTATTTTTTTTTGAAATAAACGCGTGATTAATGAAAATTTTGATAGAGCAGAAAAAAGCAAATTTTTTTTTATAAATTAGCAGAATTTGCTCTATACTGCAGCAGAATTCTTTGGGGCCTGAACCCCGATGCGATCTTTATGTGAAAAGAAAGTTAGCTCTCGATGCTTTTTTCAATACAATTAAGCTTAGTGCATACATGTCATACAAGTCACTGCTTTGACTTAAATTGAAATTAGATATGTATTCGAGTAAAGTCCGTGGATGTAAGAAGTGAAAGTTTGAAATCGTTTTTCTTCTACACGCCTGTTCTCTGGAAATTTCAAGATAAAAATCAATGGTTTCAGAGCATTTTGTGCTATGTTCATGAATTTAATTGTTTTATTTTATTCTAAGAGGAAACCAGTCGTTAAATTAGATTTTGCTGTTCCGAAATTTTTTTGTTTCCATGCGATTAGCAAGGATGTTGCAACCGGGTACTAGATTTTTTCCCGTAAATAGTTTTGTTCACAGGTATATTTAGAAGGAAGCTCAAAATGGTAATTTTACCAATATGCATCGTTCATGTTCTGTATATATGTGGCTTGTACTTGTATTGCAGTTGGTAGATGCAGGATCTTGTTATATGAATTTTTTCACTTGCTGATTTGGTGTGGGCTTTAATACTGTCTTTTTTTCTATCTTATATTGTTTTTTCAGGGCTATGAGTCGCGAACGTTCAGTCAAGGGAAGATGTAAGTTCTAAAGATTTTGAATCTTTAGTTATTACTTTAAGTTATGTTATTTCTGGTAATTTAGCTTCTCTGACTGCTTTTTTTTGCAATTTTGTGACTAAGTTTCAGGGCCTGAGCTTCAAAGTTGTCAGGGCAGTGGTCAGAACTGTCAGGGCGACAGTTAAGTTATACCGCGTGGCAACCCTGTAAATGCTTTGGATTGACAATCTTTTTAAGCTATACACTCCAGTTTGTTTAGTCTTCAGTGCTATGAAAGCAAAAATAATTTTTCTAGAACGTTTTAAAATTTATTTAGCTCATAGTTTTTTTGTTTTGTTATGTTTAATTGTCAAGTTTAGTTGCTTTTGCTAGTTTTTCACTCTACTAGTTATTTAGGTTTTTTATACCTTCCAAAAGTTTGTGCTGGGGCAGAAAAATTGAAATAGAAGTTGAAACTGTTGTTTCAGCTGCGTTTTTGTCCTGATAATTTTTTCGTTTTATTTTTTGTTGCATATTAAAAAATTAGCCATCGACATTATTTCTACTGTTATACCTTGGGCTTTTCTTCTGAGGAGAAAGAGATGTCATCTATTTTGCTGTAGTCGGTCCCACAAAAGGCAGAGTACACTGGGAACCCTTCAATCTTGAACGAAGCGTAACTCGAACCGACGTTTTTTTTATTGGAACCACATTCTTTGTGACTCAGCCGCGGCTGCTCCTTAGCAGCTTGTTTTCATGATCCGCATTATGTCTGAAAGTTTTTCTTGCAAAATTGATTCAAATTAACGGCAAATCGGTTTTTTAAACAAATTTCAAAACTCCGTTTTTCCTGGCTCATCGGGCGTCTATCCAAGTTTTGTCTGCCTTGTTACCACTGGAAAGTTTTTTGTCAATGCTAATTTAAAGCTGCCCATGCTCGCAACTGCATTTCACGACAGGGATTCATCTAGGGCTTTTGGGTCGGCAGGGAGTCTAATCCCTGAGGGGAAAACGTCCGCCTTCCCCCCCCCCCCCTAAATCCGCCCCTGGGCGAATGTATGA